TGCTGCTTGGCCTGCTGTGTTCATCCAGCCCTGCACCTTGTTGTCTCTAATTATTCCACAGTCCTGGGTCTTCCTGGAAGAATCCCAACCCACATCTTTAAAGAGCTGCCTGTGTGTTTTGCTCCTCACCAATGTGGAATTGTATCAGGCAGACTTTAAACATCAAACAGGGGAAGAAAATGTCCTCTATCATTTTCAGCTGCAGGTTTTTTCAAGCGTGAAGCAGGCAGCTAACAGCTGAAAATAACCCTTGATATCTCTGTGGTTATAGCAAGTGGCTCTACTAATCATTGCATGGTTAGAATCCTGATTAATGAGGGAGTTGTAGAAGAGTAACTTATGAAATCTATTTTATTATCTCAAAAAGATACAATTAATAAGGAATCTAGGACTATATAAAAATCAGTTTACAGACAACTAAATATGGCATTGATGAAAACAATTTTGAACTGCTGCTGTGGTGGTATGCCATCTGTTAAAAAGTTATGTCTGGAGTCATAAGACTGCATTGGTCTGTTAAAGGAGCTACCTACATAACAATAAGTATACTTAGCAGTCCAGGCAAGAGAAATGTACTGGGACATTCTGTGAAAGCTGTGCTGCAAATGCAAGTTCTTTAATTTTAATGTTAACTCAAACATAGTTATGTTTCAAAAATCAAAATCTGAACTAAAATAAATGCTTTGCATGATCACTTCTCAGACACTCTCAAAGTCCCAGAACAGGTGTTCCCCAATTTACAAACTTCCGAACACACTCACTTACAAACAAAACCTCATATTATTTTTAAAGATCTGACATGCAAACATTTTCTTGGACTTATGAGCAACTATTTTGTATTGTACTCTGACTTGTGCACAAATTGAACATATTTGAGAACCGAACCCATTCATAACCCAGGAATTGCCTGTATTAGAGGATGGGTTTGTTAGCAAAATTGCTTCATTAGAAGTAATCACAAAAATTATTGTACAAAGATCAACACACCTGAGAGTGCGTTGGAAGACTGAAGCCACTGCTCCCAGATTGCTTAGGGAGATAGCTCATTCTGTCACCGATGACTAAATTCATTAGCCCATTGATGTCATAGATTAGAAAACAATGTATATGATCCTAAGGATGGAAGAAAATTAATCTCTAAATTATAGTTCTTTGTGACACCACGGTAGTGCTCCTACATTGAAGCCAGGGTTCAAGTTCAACCTGCCCTGGAGGTATGTCATAAGATCTCTGAACAGGTTGATTAAAATAATTAGATTCCTGTTCTTGACTTCAGTAGGAAAGAATTATAAATGATGTGATTAAATTTCAATCCAGTCCATTTATAGTTTTGGATGTAGTACCCAATTGAACTCTCAGTCTTAACTTGTTATCAGGTAACACTCACTGTGCTTAACAATTTCTCAGAAATTCATTGAGAATGCATACTTGAATCTCAGTTTTAAAGTTATAAAATATTAATTTCAGTGAGGGATCGGAGGAAAAAAACAAAAGCTTAACACAAGATCTCATTTGTTTCAATTTTTATTAAGACATCTTGCAACATAAAAAGGGTAATGTTAAAAACAAAATATAGCTCTGATTAAAGGTTATATTTATTATTTACATGAAAACGTATATACAGAATACGCTCTTCAACTTGTTGGGCCAGTAACCTCATTATGCAGGCAAGCAGAAAACAAATCAAGGAATGTAGCAGAGAAACTGCATTTCAAACAAGAAAATTAAAATTAGTTTGCAAGCTAAAGGAATTTATTCAATGTGCAGAATATCTGCTTCGAGCTCAGTACCAATTGCGAGGAAGAAAGATATGCAAATTCAGGCCATTTTAACCTAAATTTTCTATTCCAACTTATTTCAATACTCATGTTAATAAGCCCAGCATTGCAACAATGCTGGTCAGAAAATTCAGGCTTCCATCCCAGAAGCAAAAACAGAACAGTATGCAAGGAATGCATCGCAAGGATTTTACTAATTATTTCCCCTCCTTCAAGATGCATTCCTTTCAGTTAAAAAAGTTCTTATATTACATTTGTAGGTGATACATAAATAAGACAGTTGTTCAAATCAAACACTGTTTCTCAGCGATGCACAGTATCACTTTCAATTACAATCTCCAAATGATCACAATTTCGATGACCCAATAGCTTCAAGCCAAAATCACTTTTTTTTTGTCATAAAAAATACAGTGAACAAGTCGAGTACCTCCTGGTGAATTTCTGAGGTATGATAAAGTACAAAGGCTGCACGCTGATCATATAGCCTCTTTTGTGTCCAAGATAATTTAGCAAAAAGTTGTCAGCAACAAATGTGTTCTAAGGAACTACATACATGCATTGAAAGGTGTGGGAGGAGGGTTGTCTGAAACTGCTAATGTGAAGACCCTAGCAGCGCTAAATGCACAAATAATCAGATAAAATTCATTAGTTTTAATCTAAGCTTAGAAAGTGATTAGACAATTTAAACATGATTTTGCATCTTTATATTAAAACAATTCCCTCATACAAATGCTGCATATTTTGTTTTCCACACCTCTATTGCCTTTGAGACCTTTATTTTTCAGTGCTGAAAAATCATAGCTAACCTGACATAAAACCACACGCTACTAACAATTAGCATTATTTCAGGAAATAATCTATCACACCACCACAACTGCGTGTTGCAGTTCGAGTAATGATCTACATCTCAGTTTAATAATGGCAGCAAGTTTCTTGATTTTACATCAATGCATTGATAACTTCTGTAATCATCAAATCGCACAAATAGCCAGTGTTTGTGCTTACTTGTGAATAGTTAAATTTTTGTGCCCTTGGTTCTGTCAGTCGGTTTAGTTAGAAAGCGATCACTAATACTTCCCATTTACAAATAATCTTAAATTCCAACCAGCCGAACAGACATGTTAGTAACAAAAGATGTCTTAGAAAACACAAATTAGCCCATTCATAACTTAGAAATTGGGCCTGAAAGAGTATTGTAGTAAGTCTTTGGTGTTTTATTTTTTTTTAAAAGATAGTATCCACCATACTGGTCTACAAGGAATCACTATTGAAAATCACACAACATTTTCTACAATATATCACAATCTCTTGACAAATTTTTGTAACATGTTCACTGAAATTACAATTGACTAAATGTAATAGCATCAAAATAGGTCAGTATATTTTTCTGGGTTTCTTGTTTGTACAAACATTAGATTCTGGCAAAGGAACTAATGTATCTTAATGAATTAAACAATCTTCAGAAACATGTACATGATACTTGAAGGCTGTAACATGTCAATAGCGCAGGGTTAATTCTTCAAAATATATACAAAATGTATAAAGAATGAGTTGGTTAACAAAGCAGTAATATTGTCCTTCAGAAATTAAGCAGCAACAGCAATATTTATTACAGTTTTATTAAGTATAACATGCAAGATAACCAATTACAATGCACAGCTCCACATATTACCTCAGTGTCATCTGCACATGATTCTACTGATCTGGGGGAAAAAAACACTCTGATATATGTACTCTGTTTAAAAAATACAACAATAGAACACCATATACACATTAAAATGGAATGTGCAATTCTCTTACCCCTTTTACAAACTGTAAGTCCATACAGAAGTAAGATAAACAAAATGCAATAATTGCTCTGCAACACGTACATCAAGACCTTTAATACCAATGGGATGAAAATTCAACTTTGGTAGGGCATAAATTGGGCAGTATTTGATTGGACAGCCATTATACACCTGCCTACTTATTCCTCCCATTTGTGTTAATGGAAAACTTGTGATCCACTGCCACCCATTTCATGTTCTTGCTGAAGTTGAATTTAATCAAATCTTCCAAGTGTTTACAATGGTTTTATTCTTCCTGAATATTTCTTGCATAGTGGTGTTGACTTTAACCTCGTGAAAATCCAGCTAATTAATTTGCTGATAGTAATTAACATAATTATTTAGGGTATTTCCCTATTCTGATATAGAAAAACATTGTAGCAGAATGATGTCATTGAGCTGAATGACAACAGAGGAAAGTCAGACGTTACACTTTATATTAGAAAGGAATAAAATCATTTGTTTTTTATGTTGTTCCAATTTACAGTTACGATTTTCTTTCTTAGTGCCTTTTTTTTTGAAAATACAGATAAAAAGTTATTTTGCCAGCTTATTAACCATGTTTATATCTTAAAGATACCGAATAGGGCCCATTTCACATAATTCCCAAGGAATCCAACATCACATCTACAGACAATCTTACGAATGTCATTCTAATACAGGCACAAGGTTCGCTGAGGCACTTCTGTGGGCAAATAGCAGTCCCTGTAGACGTGATACCAGCATTAGTCAACAGAGAGCCTTACAGCTATGAAATTGCTTATGTTCTTAACATAATTAATGTATTCCTTGTCTCAGTGTACACAATAAAATGAAGTACACTTCCATTGATACTGACTCCTTTATAATAGTTGCATTCTGTACAGCTGTTTCACATGTTTTCAATGTGAATTCTTCTGAAAGAAAACGTACATTTTAAAATTAAATCTTCCCAATACTGATCTGCTGTTTGGTAGCTGTAGAGATCATCGTTAAAGTTTGTTTCCATGTTATTAAGAATCGAGCTGACTATTTTAAAGCCTTTTCTCCATATTTTGCCTTGCATTTTTAAAAAATAAAACCAACTTAAAAGCATGTTCAATTCCAAAGATTTTTGTTTCTTTATGCTCAGACAAACTAATCGGCGTAAGCATCATCTGTACTTAAAGCCATATCCAGGCGTGAGTGGTTTACCAAACATGAAGATATGCCAAATCTTTTTTATTTAGTGTAGGATAATAACATTTGTTAGAGATTGCAAAAGAGCTCATTAAAAAAGTAAATCACAGTACAGTATAACAAATGTAATTTTTTATATGTGGGGAAAAAAATCACAAAGAATTTATCTCATTTTAGATTACTGCACAGTATTTTTATTGTAACATGATGTTTTTGAAATAAAAAAAGGTATTTGTCACTCAAAATTCTACACAAGAAATTTTAAAATATTACGAGTGAAAAAAATGACTAATTACTAGTACTCCATATGCTTTTATTTTTACATTTGAATATCCAGCATGACAGTAATTAGGAAATTTAACATTAGATTTTCAAACTTGTACTTTTTAAGAATTCACATAGAAACTGTATGTGCAACGTGATTTTACTGTAGAAATAGTGTGCATACCACAAAACAGAGTGTAATGTTTAAAGATTTATTTTGGTGTTCTTTTGTTCTCAACTTTGTTGTCCTCCAGGACATTTTAACCCAAAGATTTGTTTCCACGTCATGGAAAGGGAAGCAGTAGGTCACATTGAATTTCTGTGATTTATGGTAAGTCTGCGTGTGGCTTACTGGAACATGGGGCCAGTCTGTCATTCAACACCTTCAGATCAACCATATAGTTGCTCACTTTAAAACGAGCTAGTAAGGTTACTGCACTGATTCTAGGCAGAAACACCAAATACATCTTTGAATGCGTACAAATACATGTACATTGTAAAATGGCATACACAGAGAATTGGATGAGCAGATTACCTGAAATATCTAGTAAAGTTGATTCTTAATTAACCTTTATGACAGCAAATATCTTTGACTAGAAAGAGTTAAGGACCAACATTGTGCTCTTCAATCACTGCTGCACTTAGGCAAGAGGTGTCAAGTGCCAGCAACATTCTCAATATTAAATGGCCTTTGGTAGAGAAATCTGATGTCTAGAACTTTCTTTAAAATTGAATCCTTATGGGACTATAAAGAGTCTAGTACTGTATACACAATAGTTGTCATTGTTCCAAAAATGTCTTTTTACATTTTTTTTGCTTGGGAAAAAGGATTAGAAAACAAATTGGTAGGTTAAAAGAAAAATAATGTCTGAACATTCGATGCATAAAATGCATCACAATTTAATTATAATAAATTGTGAATTACTTTAAGGAGTAAATATGTTCCAAACATTTCAGATTCATTGCACTCTAAATGGCAACTCACTGTGAAATATGGATATATTGTGACAGTAACTTCAGGAGCTTAATAACTTTAATGTGCAGACGAAATGATCAAATGTAGATACTCTGTGTGGCATAAATTTTTAAATTGGATTTTTTAGTCCATTAAAGGACGACATGAAATTGGTAGGTGTCTTGCACCTGATTTTGATATTCTACAGTACTGTCTATGTTGACTCATTTGATTATTATGCCACACATTGATAAGAAATCATTAGATGTAAGAAAATATGAAAATGTTCTTCACAAAGCTGGTCTCCGTTCCCAAGAAAGTCCCATCATTAGCAGGTATGATCTCTCTAACAAAAAGTTTTAAAACAAACATTGCTGTAAATTGTCTAGAACCTGTGGTGTTCCCCCAAAATATGATCCAAATATTCAATCAAATCATTCAATTCATCGCAAATGTCTACCACAAAACAGACCTTGTCTTTTAGATGTTGAAACTGAAATTGGTTTGAAAGCATATATAAAAATGCAACATCACTGCAGTGTTGTTTGAAAACACCTCATCACTTGTACATTGCAGCGTAGTAACAGTGAATCACTTCAAGTTATCAATATTTAAGTTTGAAACAGTTGGAGTTTAGGATGGTAGATCACAACGTCCTCCTCAAACCTGGCTTTCCTTCCTTTATGTAAAGCCATTTACAACTTTTCAATTTTCTTTGGGATAATTCATATTGTGCCAGTATTGGAACCTCATCATTTTAAGACAGTATTCATTCAAAGCGTTCCTGCAGGGAAATGTTACACTCAATTCTGGTTTGTAATATTCTGCTCCAGCTAATTAAAGACAGTGCTGATCACTTTAAACATCCGGCAGCCTGAACTGAAGCACTTTTTTGGCTGCAAATGATGACAGACTTAAAGAAATCCGCACAATAACGGGCAGCAAAATTACTCCTTCATGCTGTTTTGTTCCAAATTCTAAACTAAACAGCAGTGTCACGGTAGTTAAACATTCTCCTAATAACTCATGTTGATAACATTCAAAAATCAACTAGCAAAATATAAAACACAACCAAATCAAAGTGAACTGGAGTATTGTAAGGAAAGATTGTTCAACTGAACACATTGATGGACTGTTGTCAGAAGTATATTCAGTACCTCCAGGCCCAGGCTTGTTTATTGTCTGTTGTTTCCAATGTGTACGTGCTATCATTCTTAAGGTAATTGGGGCTTTAAGCATGAAGACTCAGCAAATCTCAAAAGCCTTTTAAACGACGAATCTTCAAGGGATACTTTCTCTTTTCCATCCAAATCTGAATGGTTCACATGATTGTATTTTCATTACTTGCCCATCAATGACTGATTCTGTTCAAATACGTGTAGCATCCATCTTCACGTAAAAGGGGCCCTTTTGCAGTTATATTAACAAATTACTTAATTTTGATCATATCACTCAATGTGAGCAGCAAACAAAGACTCACTAAGTTTATTTCACAGTATTTATCTGGCTGGCAAGTTATCAGATGAATATCCATCCATTGTGTCAAGGCTGAACCTATCCAGTGCTCATTTTGGAACAATTCTGAGCAAAATAGGTTAAAATGAATCGTGACAAACTAAGTCAGTTAGCATACTGTGCATAGAATGCAATTTTCACTCTCTCAATGTGATGACATAATTTGATAGCAGGGCCAAGTTTGAGCTCCATACATTCCTGGACTGTTGGCAGCGTCAACAGTAGTAGTGCTTGGCCATCAATGTCCTGTGGGATAGATAAAAATAAATAAATACTACAATAATCCACTGACGTTAGAAAAGTGAAGCTGGAAAATAGCAATACAATTCATCAGCCAAGTCTTTTGCACACACTGTAAACTCACAATAAATCTGATTCTCAGCCTATTTTATTTACACTTGGAAATATTGGCCAACAGCTCTAACCGACCAGGAAATATATTTTGCATCATGAACAGAACCCCCATACTGTCTGAAAAATAACATATTGAACTTCCCACCTGGATTCCGTCCAGGGAATGTGAACTCCAGTTCCAAAAAGGTATAGTAATCCCCATTTGATTGCATTTACATTGGTTAATGTGATATTATAGTCATCATGCTGCTGAATCTCTGTCATAGAAAATAACTAGATTAACTTACCTTGCTGTATCTGGCAGTATAGTATGTACGATTACAGCCAAAGAATCATAAAGTATATTTGTTTTGGCTCATTTTTACATTTTTGAAAGTAAGTTTACGCTGGTTCTGTGAACACTGCATTTTGATACATACTTGAAAAAGAGAACATGATGTGCTATTAAATAAACATGGAGACTTCCTAAAATCATTTCTCTGCCAGAAAAAGAGATGGAATGAAGCAAGCTTGGGTTTCTGGTTACAATAACGAGAACAGAAGGGAAATTATTGACACACAGCACTTCTGGAACTAGATTTTATTGATTTACACATATTGCAAAGATGTTTCAGATTAAGAATTAGTTAAATATGATCAACTTTTAAATCAAGTAAATGCACCAAAAAATTATAAGTGGTAAACAGCAATTGCTGCTTTATCACCACTATTCAGCTTGCTGCCCAATGTTAAAAGAAAACATGTGTTCGGTCATTAACAGGAATAGAAAACCTCTCAATGCTACATTGTTAAAGCCTATTAAAACCTTGTTAATGACCTATCAAGAAAATGATGCCATTTCACATTGGAAGACAGGTAAACAATCATTTTATGTAGCCTGTAATGGAAAAAAAAAAGTTTGAAAATATCATCATTGTAGAATGATAAAAATCTAGAGCTGAGGGGAAGCTATTTTGTCTAGTGAGTCTATGCCAGTGATCCAGCCTAATTCCATTTTCTAGCTGTTGGTCCATGGCTGGGTTACATCATTTCAAGTTCATATTCAAATACTTTGTGAATGCAACATAAACATCTGCCACTAATATGTTTGTCAGTTTCTTTTAGACTCACCATAGTTTGGGTGACCCAAAATAATCTCTCAACTCCCCTTTCATCCTCTACTAATCATTATAAACCTATGTCCCTGGTTCCCTCAGTCTCCACTGTTCCAAATATCCTCAGCTTATCTAATCCTTCCTTGTCTCCAGACCGAGTTCCATTTGTCATTTTTCTTCCAGTTTGATCAGTCCGTTAATATGCTACTGCAATCGAATCTTTCTTCTGCATTATCAACCACAAAGATAATTTTTATATCTTTTCCAAATTTCTTAATCATATATTTGTTTAAATTATTGATATAAAGCATAAAAAGTAAGGAACTTAATACTGAGGCCCATAGAGTCCCACGGAAAACAACCCCAGTAAAACATTCACTGACCATTGCCCTTTACTTCCTGCCATTGAGTTAATTTTGGATTTCGGCACGTACTCTTTTTTGGGTCCCGTGAGTTTTCACTTTTTTGACCAGACAGCCATTTGGGTACTTGTCAAAAGGTTTGCTAAAATTCATGTAGACAACAAATGTGCTTTTCCTCATCAACCCTCCATGTTACTTTGCTGAATTTTGTAAGGTAAGTTAAACATGACCTCCCTAGCAAATCGATGCTGTCTTTCCTTGATAATTTCATGCAGTAGGGTTAGGGTTGGGGTTCTAAAATGGTGATTGATGCAATCCCTCGGATTTTATTCCTAATATTTTGACCATTGCCTAATAATGGATACACAGATTTGTTGCAGTTTATAGTATACAACTCTATACACACATACATATATACATTTGTGACATCCATTGGACATTTGAAAATGTCCTCATGGTAGCAGTTTTTCCCAGAGAGTTTACTGGAATTTACTTCTCAAAGTACTCAGAATGATGGTACCAATATTCAGGAGTGATGCATCTACTATGACCATGTACCACTGAACGTACCACTGCAGATGAAATAGCTGTATTTGCCCTGTCAGAATGCACAGCAGAAAATTATTGATGCCTATCAAGCTATGTGTGAGATAACTCACATGTTGGGCTCCTTTAAACTATCTACATCACCTGCCAATGTCATGTGTCTAATTCAAAACAACAACTTAAGCTTGCCTTTCTAAACTTTCCTCAAAGTTTCAGTTTTTCTCTCAATGATTCCTACTCAGCATAACAAGTGCCACTTGTATCTCTTAAAAATTGGGAGATTAAATCTGTTTTCATCAAAAGTACAAAGGATGCCTCTTCGCGGAGTAATGAGTGCCACTGACTATAATGTATATTCCTGTTCCTCTTTAGTTATTCATATATGTAAATTATGACCAAAGTTTCCTGGGTTCCATTTGTTCTGTGTCACTGGGTCAATTTTAAATACAGGTAAACTTCTGGATGGAGACTTTTTCACAGCCCTAATGACTTATACTGATTACATTCCATTGATACAAGCTAAAATCAAGGATTTTGTTACTATAGAAGTATAGTGCTTTAATACTGAGCTAATAAAGCTGTTAAGGTCTCCTCGTAATGACCATTAGAACCATTAATTTATTTTTATCTGGTCTGTTCAAATAGCACAATTGTAGATAACACCCAATTTCCAACAATGGTGAACTGAGCAGGAATATATTTTTAAAATTTTATTCATAGGATGTAGATGACGCTGGCTAGGCCAACATTTATTGCCCATTGCTAATTGCCTGGAGGGTTAAGAGTCAACCACACTGCTGTGGATCTGGAATCACAAGTAGGCAAGACCAAGTACGGGTGGCAGACTTCCTTCCCTAAAGGACAACAGTGAGCCAGATGGATGTTTAACAACAGTTGACAATGGTTACCTGGTTGCCATTAGCTTTATCGTTGTTCCAGATTTCACTATCTTCCATGGTAGGCTTCAAATCCACATCCTCAGAACATTACCCTGGGGCTGTGATTATTAGTCCAGCGACAGAGCCACTAAGCTACTGCCTCACTCTTTATGTAGTTCCTGATTTTTCAGCAAGTAATTTTGAGTTGGTAATGGTTTGATCAACAAATCTGAGAGCCATCATTATATTTGTACTTTACTGTCATTTGCAGAAACAGATTGTGCCTGTTATTTTACTAAATAGCTTTAATGATGTTGGAACACTGCAAATGTAAACAGATACTTTACACCTAATGATCACATTTCAGAATGAAGTTTTCAATGGATTAAATGATCATCTAGGCTATATTAACTTCCATAATTACTGCAGGCCTACCACTGATTTTCTCATAGAAAATAAGAATCTTTGGTAACCATAATATTGTCCTGAAAACATCACACCTGGCACACCCTTGGAAAAGAATCTTTAGAACAATGGACTCTTTCAGGTTGATTTTAATTTCGGATGACACGGGTGAGATAGATTTAAGGCAGATGATGGACATACAGAAATTGTTAGATGAACAAGCCAAGGTCCATCTTGTTCGCTTTCTGCCTTTCTGGTAGTTGTGATATACAGTGATAATGAAGTTATTGACCAATGCATATTAGGTTTGAACTTACTTCCTGTGCAATTAGTAGACAGGAGACAGGTCAGTAATTTTCAAAACTTTAAAAAAATGACTAACTTATTTTCTTCTTTCTTTCTTAATCCAAGCCTTCCAACAGCATTCTCCTTCAGTATTCAATCTTACTAATGCCCCTTATTTTGTCCTTCATTGTTCTGGTTTCTTCAATACATAACTAACAAGATCTAAGAATTATTTGTTGATCCCATTGCTCAATATCATTCCAGTTGCCCTGTTAACCCGTTAACCTTGTCCTCTTCATTATCAACTCACAGCCAACAGTTTGTGGTACAAAGATTATGTGTTGAAGAGTGAGGAAATAAATCCAATAAAAAAGGGCATGTTGCAAAATGTTCCGTACCAGGATATTCTGTCATTATAGTCTTGTCTTGTCTCTTTAAAGCAAGCAATTCTAGCTACATCACGACCTAACAGTACAGAACACGAAAAAAATACAGATGTTTCACTAAAACATAATTAATTCTAAAAGTAATTCCAGATTACACACTGTATTTTCAACATGGTACAGTTAACTGTAGAAAATAACGTCAGTAGCTGTTTGACTGCGTTTTTAACGATATACCCCCCCATATCAGCCCTTACTGCATTCCACCATTGCTCTTTACAGACACCTGTTATTGCTTCATGTCTTTTAAATAATAAAAAATTATGTTTTTTTCTACACTTGCACTGATTTCATTATTTAGACTAAAAGTTGTCAATAACTAATAACATGTCTACAAAAGCACAGAATAGCAAATGCTGATTGAAGAAACACAGTGCTTATCCCATACAACAACTGCAAAATGGTTCATTTTAATAGCTTTGAGAGAAAATTTATAGTAACCTCATGTGTGCCAAATAAAAAAGTCCTCTACAGAACCACACTGTATCTAAAATCAGAATTCAAGAAACTATATCACTAAGTGAAAACTATAATGAATCTAAAAACATATCACATGCACAGGGGATTACCAAATAGACAGAGAAATTGCTTTATTTACTTTGTGAGTGTAAATTAAGTTAGAAACTGTTTAATGAAGCATAACTACATATGGCTTGTTTCCCCAAATCAGTCGAGAAACTGTCATATGCGAAAAGTGTACTCTAATGGCAAGGAAGAAAGTTCAGGGTGGAATAAAACACAGTAATGAGCTGTGCCTTAACCAAGACAATGACATATTTGTAGATGATAGCCACCCGGAAAGTACTCCACTTCTATTAGAATAACAAAGAAAAACTACAGTAACTACGTTGTATTTTGTATATTGTACAGCGTGGAAAT